GAATTTATATTTTAACCTTTTTACATTTGCTTTAAAGAGTTTTTGTTGTAAAAAATAAACATTATGACAAATAACTTTTTTTATTAATAAAAAATAACATTTTTAAAAAAAACAACAGGAACAACAAAACAAATGTCGGTATTACATCTTTATTTATAAATTCAACAATCCAAGTTATTTTTACATCACATTTAATTAATTGAGTGTAAATTGACAAACATAAAATATATTTTATTGTTAAAAAGTGTTAACATTTGAATATTAACATTTTAGTTAATTAATTAACTAACATAATAAATTAATCACCAAACTAACGTACAATGACAAATAAACAATTTGTTTAAATTGAATTTTTTAAAAATGAATTTATTTTTAAATAATAATTCTCAAAATATTACTTTTAAATTTATTTACAACCAATCTCTTTGTTTATTAAAATTCTTATTTACAATAAATTTGATTTTCAGCTTATTTAAAAAAATAAACTGAACTTTCTCTAAGTTGACTTTAACCTAAGTATGGTGGTTTATAACATAATTTGATTTTAAAAATGTTTTAAATTTATGTGTTGGGGAGGTGGTTATGATATCTCTGATAATTGCATTTTCACCCCAATATATACTTTTAACTGACTCGCCGAATATATGCGTCTGGGCTTTCACAAGATCTGTATTCTAAAGAAGGAGTCACGCACTCGGTTCACAAAGAAAGTTGCTGTACTCTGATTGACAAAAAACTATGTCTAAACACTTTATAATGGACTTCTCAAGTCGACTGAAAAAAACGCTCCAATCCGTTTGGACCATCTCCAAAGCATTGTCCTGGAACTCTTGGGAATTTTGAATTTAAGAGAGTAAATTCGCAAAGATATCTAAAACAATTGGGACCGTCACACCAATTGGAAACATCATATTTCCTAAACCATATTTATCTTTTCCGTTATATATCCATCTGAAATTTGTTCTGAGATATTCAGAAAAATACAATTCAAGTTTTGCCAAGTTGTCATTGCCAACTTCAAATTCGGGAATCTTGTAAAACAAATCTTTGTCCGTAAGGTATATGTTAACGGTTCCGGGCTGCCCTTGTCTTCCAGATCTCCCATTAGCTTGTTCTAAGGCTCTCTGGTTTGCCATTTGAAAAGGAATAATAACATTAAGACCACATGATGATTGAGACTGTTTTAAAAGTTTGATGTCAACCCCTCTCCAGGCTGAAGAAGTTGCTATTATGACTTTTTTACTCTCCTGCTTGTGTAATAGATACTCTATCTGCTTTTGGATTCACTGCAGTTATACCC